AGCCATCATTGACAATCACTTGAAAGCTGTACGCCATCGCCCTAAAAATTTTTAAGCATTAATCTCATGTTTATGTTGATGAAAATATTTTTAAAAGGTGAACATGCTTGAAATAAATTAAAAAGAAGCATATTGGGAGGCGTTCGACTCTATCGAATGAGACAAGCGACAGACCAATTTATTGTGGCAACAATTTTGATAGAGACCACCTCAGTAATGACAGTGCAGATGATTCATAACTCAGCCTTGAACCTCACTGCTACCTAACCTTAACCTAGATCCTAGCCGCCGGCCTCCCTCTTCATGCACAAGTTTGAATTTTCAAATTCAAAATAACCTCTTCATTACCTTCCTAAATTAATTTTTTGTTAACTTAGAAAGTTTCTAATTTGAATCCAAATTAATTTGAATTTCAAATCCCTTTCCTAATCAATATATCTAATTTAAGAAGCCCCTCCAATTCCTCTAAATCTGAAATAATTTCAGATTTAACGACCCCATCACATTTAATGCTATGGTCCACATATATTGAATGTGGACATCTTTTCTCCCTCCTCCTTTGGCAGCTCCTCTCCCCTCTATCATAATGATTTCCTTCCTAATTAAAGGCCCTAATTAAAGAGATAATTAATTCCTCTCTTCCCTCCTTTCTTGTTTAAATTTCAAATTCAAATCTATTATTAAGGGAAATATGAGATGGAATTTTAGCTCTTTAATTTTTTTATTACCCCCCTCCATTCTACATCAATTTGGTATCAGAGCATGGTTACCCGGGATGCGAACTCGACAGAGTCGAGCTCTTTTCTACTCCGGGAGAATGATGCGGACATCCAACAGTGAATGCTTATTTAAGGAAGAGATGAAGATCGACAGCCGAGATCCCTCCCTTTTTATCTTAGTTTATTAATTGTATTTTTGATTTAATTATGCATTTTTCAGTTTTACCCTTACTTAAGGGTCTTGTCTTATGTAAGCCCAAGGTGCAAAGTTGTTTTTTAGTTTCTTTTAAGGCCTATATAGAGAGGCCCTTGCTCTTATATTAGATAATGATGTATTAATAAAAAAAATATTTTTACAATTTGTTCTTGAGAGTGATGGGAGTTTTTAGGAGAGAGGAAGTCCCTATGTGAGGGCAATGAAATACCCACGAGTCACAGGATGTGTCTGGGCTTGTGGTTTAAGTCCCTAGGTGAGGACATCATATCACCTGTGAGCCGCAGGACTTGTTTGGGCTCACGGTTTATCTTCTTTCCCTATCTCCTTCCCTCTCTCTTTTCTCCCCTTATTCCAACTCTTGGCCACCACCTTCCCCTTCTCTCTATCGCCGACTCCAATCCCCTCTCCAGTACAAGTTTTCATTTCTCCTCCCCACACCCCCACCCCAACCGCCGACTAGCTCAGCCTTGAACCCCACCGCCACCTAACCTTAACCTTGATCCTAGCCGTCGCCTCCCTCTTCATGCACAAGTTTGAATTTTCAAATTCAAAATATCCTCTTCATTACCTTCCTAAATTAATCTTTTCTTAACTTGGAAAATTTGTAATTTGAATCCAAATTAATTTGAATTTCGAATCCCTTTCCTAATCAACAAATCTAATTTAAGAATCCCCTCCAATCCCTCCAAATATGAAATTAATTTCAGATTTAACTACCCCATTATATTTAATGCTATGGTCCACATACATCGAATGTGGACATCTTTCCTTCCTCCTTTGGCCGCCCCTCTCTCCCTTCTATCCTAATGATTTCCTTCCTAATTAAAGGCCCCCAATTAAGGAGATAATTAATTTCTCTTTTCCCTCCCTTCTTTCTTGTTTGAATTTCAAATTCAAATCCATTAATTAAGGGAAATCTAAGATGGAATTTTAGCTCCTTAATTTTTGTATTACCCCTTCCGTTCTACATCAAGAAGTAATAGATACAATATAGCATCTTGAGAAGAGTTTGATGTTGCATGCCTCTAAGTAAGTCTCATGATGACATGTCGGGGGTCGTGAATAGCCTTATCACCCATTCCCATCCAAATAAATGACAAATTTGACCATATGATTAAATTGGTTTAGATTTTGTGAGTTGATGGTGTATATTGAACAATTAACAGAGTTTTGAACTAAAATGGATGCATCAAGAAGTCTGGAGACTATTTTGATCATTTTTTCATATAGAAACTAGTGGGAAACATGATTTCATTCAATTTGGTGATTGATGAATGAAAGGTTTTGGTTTGCTGTGATTATGAAACTTGTTTTGTTTATGGTGTTTAAAGTTTTATGTTATTTTAACCTTTTTTTAGCTTAAATGTTATTTTAACTTTGTTAACACAGATAAAAATAAGTTTGATCAGTACCTGAAAACAATTGAAATCTTTGATTCAGTTAGTGGACTTTCTATGTTTCACACATTTTATCAGAAGAATTTGTTATCCTTGTGATGAGGACATCGGAAGATCAACGGCTACGATCTAGAGCTTAATATATTTTATTTTATTTTTATGTCTTATGTACTAATTTATCTTATATTATTGTTTTTCCCATTTTACCCTTAGGAGTAGTCATGTGGTGCATGTGGTGTTGTAGCCCGAAGGGCGTTTTAGTGTTTGCTATTTTTCTTTTTATGAGGCTTATTTATAGGCTAACTCTCTTGTATTGTAGGAGGATGATTTGATAATAAAATTTTATGTGTTTTTCTTCTTCTTCTTGTGAGTGCACTAAAGAGAAGGGAGAGAGAGCTCAAGGTGAGCAAGCGCAATACCCACCAGTCGTGGGAAGAGTCCGTGACTCGTGGTTTTAATTTATCTTCGTCTTCTCCTCCGTTTCCTCCACCCCATCCGCCGACTTTTCCTAGCTTCCACCGCCGGCCATATTCCCGCCCAAATCACCCCACAACTCCACCACCTCAAGCCCACCCGCCACCATAGCTTCATCCAACCCAACACCTAGCCGCCCCCTTCCCCTTTGCCGCCGGCCTCCCCTCTTGCCCCACTCCATTATGATGATTCCAATTGTCATAATTCCCCTCCTAAATTAACTCCAAGAGGAAAGCAAAGAAATTAATTTTATTTGAAATTTGAAATTCAAATTTCAAATACTTTCCTTATTTGCAAATCCTAATTAGGAAAGTGCATAAAATCAATCCTATTTGAAATTCAAATTAGATTGGATTTCTTAATGTTTTTCCTAATTCCCATGAGTTATTTTAGAAACCCTTAAAATTCCTCCCCACAATCCTCCTCCCCCACTTAATGCCGCCGCCACCCCCCCTCCTTTATTAGGCTTCCTCCTTGTGTTTTCCTCTTTGGGCCTCACCCTCTTTGAACTTGTAATCAAAATTTCAAATTTAATCCCCTCCAAATCCCTCATGGATTTTGAATTTCAAAATTCAAATCCCCCTTAATTACTTTCCTAAAATATCTTCTATTAATATGGAAACTTCTTGATTTGAATTCAAACTTATTTGAATTTCAAATTAATCCCATATTAATGAATCCTATTTTTGGAAACCCGGGGACCACATACATCGAACCTAGACGCTTTCCCCTCCTTTCCCTATGGCCGGCCTTCCCTCTCCCCTACCTCTCTCCACAAACTAATTAACTCACATTAATTCCCTCCCTTAAACCTTCCAACAATTCGTAATTCCCTGTCAACCCCAGCAGCCGGCACTCACAGTTTCTCCCTCTCGGTTTCTTCTATTCTTTGGTATTACTGAGTGCTGTCCCAGAATTTCAGAGAGGACAACCTGCTGTCCTGCACCACTTGAAGGCCACTGCCAGCTGTCCAGTAGCCCTAGTCTCCACACAACTGCTGCCCAGGGTTCTGTCCACCTCGAACGTTGCTGTCCTGCACTTTTCAGCAAGGTAGTTTGATGTCCAGGTTGCTGGAACAGCCCCATTTGCTGTCCAGAATTTCTGGATATTGACAGATTGCTGTCCCAGGAATTCTAGTAAGAATAACTGCTGTTAAACCTTCCGGGAATCCCCTACCTGTTGTCCCAAAGTCCGAACTCCGATAAACACAGGATGATTGCTAAGCCTTGACGACGGTGAGCTAATTCTCTAAGTCATTTACCTTCCTAGTCGTCTTCGGTTGTGGTTGTAATTTGATTTACTAGGACCGTGTTAATTCTCTCTGCTAAAGTCTAGTATATTAGAGAGTTGAGTGAGGGATATCTCTTAGTGACTAATCTCTTTGTTAGTTTAGGAATTATTGTTGAAAATCAACCACGAACGCAATGTTAGATTAATTGATTGTTTTACTACCTTAACTCCTATGCATGTGATTTAGCCTAAGCTGGTCTTATCGCCTTATTGTTTTATCTTAGCGTTTAAATCGGCATAAGTTTTATTTAATATTGTTCTTGAAATATTAAGCGTGCAAATTTCTTTAAACAACTCATCTTCACACGTTTGTATTACATCACCTTGCCTATGTGCTTTCTGCCCGTTAGATGTGTCTATACTTCGCTAACCTTCATTTGATGTTTGTAGAAGGCCATCGGATTAAAAAAACCTTAGATTAGAATTGCAGTTGTCCTGTGAAAGTCCTTAAATGGATTGATGATTTATTGTCCTTGTATTGTTTTAATTGTTGCAGATATGACTGGTCGCAATTTTCAGATTAAAATCCTTTGCGACCAAAATTGAGTAGGTTGAAAATTAGAATTGTTAAACACTATTTCAACTTGATTAGGGTATAGAACACTTCACTTTTACTTAAAAAAAGATTGAATGAGTAGTAGAGAGAGAAACTACAACAAACAAGATGCAAAAGGGTGGGGGAGAGAGAGAGTTATTTAACTAAAAATGCAGTAAGTTAATATATCCTCAATCATCATAAAAAAAACTTTTTCTTATGTTCATATGTGATGCTTTTTGAGCTATCCTTCAAATCTTAGTGTTGATCTTTTAATTTGCTTCTCTGATAATTTTGGATCTGTACAATTTGAATTACAACTTCATATGCAATCTTTATCTTTTAATTTTTATTTTATTGAAATTCAGGATGATATTCGAAAGGCCTTGGGAGTATGTCCCCAACATGATATATTATTTCCAGAGCTGACGGTATGCCAGATTCACCTGATTTTGCTCAATATCTTAATAAGCCATCTTTTTCTGCACGGTCATTCATGAAGGCTTTTTTATTACTTAATTTATTAGAGGTAACGCGCATATTTATGTGGCAAAAGCGGATTCAAGTTCAAGTGTTCATAGTTTCTTTTTTAGCAGGCTTGTTTTTCTTTGTCTTATGCACCTACATTATTTCCTTCTATATCATCATGATTACAATTAATTTTTTATTCTCTCAAGAAATTTTATGACCACAAAATTGATGAATTTCTTGTAATGGCCAGCAGTATTATTTTATTTAATTCGTACAAACAAACCTGAGCTGCACCATACGTTGGAATTCCCTGATACAAATGCATGCTGTAACCACCAGCGGCCTTAATAATAATGGTTTTGCATTACTGAAATATTATTGGAAAAACAAATTTTACAGCCATTTAGTCATTCACACATCCTTCAAATACTACGATGGTATCACTATTATAGTTTATTGAAACAAATTCTTATAGCCCAAAATTCTAACTGTCTGCAATGAAAAATAAAACAAAACAAAACAAACAAACAAACAAAGTCCATGTGGCTAAATCTTGAACAAAGTATGGTATGCCAATTTATCTGTGTTTCAATCCCCTTCCACGGCTGCTTCCTGACGTTACTTTGTTCCTGTGAGGTTTGTTATCCTAAAACTTCTAGTTGATATGGATTTTTCTCACTCAGGCCTTGAACGAGAAGATTGAAAGTAATAAGCACTCGAGCTGGATGTGTTTTAGAATATTGGGATCAAGTCCTTTTTTGTAGTGGAGCAAGGATGATGGGGAAACTAATTGTATTCAGATTTCCTTCCCTAAGGGTTTTTTGCAAAGGGTAGAAGAGAGAGAGTAGAGAGGTTAATTAAAGGGTATTAGAGAATTGGTTTTAGTTTAGTAGAGAATAAATATTTTATTGATGTGAGATGATAATCTCTAGCTTTTATCCCTGCTTAGTTGTTTCTTCTTGCTACTTTAATGCCCAACTTGGATGAGAGAGAGAACGAGAAGATTATTATCTTCTTTGAAATCCTCATTGAAGATAGTTGTACTTGGACTTTATAAAAATGAGGGATGGAGTAAACTTTTTTTATTTTTTATTTTTTTATATTTTTTTATTTTTAGGGATGGAGTTAACTTTGATTACACGTTTACTTTGAAAATACTTTGATTGACATATGAGATGATGACTGCTTAATGAGGTTGCTAGCCATCTGATTCCTGATTTTGTTACCTAAGATGATCATTATCTTTGATCACCGTAAATCGAAATGAAACAATCTAAAGGACAATCAATTTGCAGTAAGCATTAATACGATAATCCATGGGGAGAATAAGAGGGGCTGACTATGCCCTTATGCATTGAAGTGGCTTTTGACTATATGGATAGAATACCTTGATGAGGTGGCACTTTGTGTTGATGTAGAGTTTTTGATGTTTGTAGTCTTACATATAGCATTGAATTAGATGTATGCCCATGGAACTTGAACATACATTGGAACATAGGCCATTATTTGAGTATATTTGAGTTGGCTTAATACCGGTCGTGTTAGCCTGAGATAAGCCTGAGATAACCATTTGAAAAGTAGCTGACTCAAGGGTATGGTTTTGGTTGATTTATTCATATTGATGGAATGTCCTATATTATGACTCCCCATATCAAGACATTTGCATATGCAAATCAACATTGAAGGGTGAGGGGAAATCTTCATTGAAACAGGTCTTGATTTATTTTTGACTTGATTTACTAATTTCTTATGTTGGAAGACTCAAAACCTACAAAAATTATTAATAATGTGTCTCAGCTTTTTTATTTATTCTTTCTTTTTTATGAATTTTGGAATTACAAATGAATTGTCTTTTTCTTATTTAAGTGAAGTGATCCTTAAACGATAAGGATGAAGTTTAGAAAACTTCCACTAACATGCTCTTAAGAAAGAGAGGGCGATCACCAAGCACAAGAAATCTCATACGCCTAAATTTTGCAAGAATTCAAAACTAATTTTCCATTCATTCTTACTTTCTATTTATAGCCTAATACAATCTATTCGTAGTCTTTTTAGTAGGCAAAGGTAATACCTTACTTAATAAAGGATCTTTATTAGCAACCATGGTTTGTATTGTTCAATGGGATCTTTTAGACTTGGAAGAATGCTTGTTAAAGGGATAATTTTGAGCTAATCATTACTAACTATAGACTTGTTTGAGCTATATTTGTTTACACTCTCATTACGTTGTAAATTATATTCTTTTTAGTATGAGGATCTATTTTGTTGTTGTATTGAACTTCGGATGCAGGGCTTCCTCTTGACTTGTTTGCTTTATTCAGGTTAAGGAACACTTGGTAATGTTTGCTGCTATAAAAGGTGTTGATGACCATTGCTTAGAGGTTCAAGTAACTGAAATGATCAATGAAGTGAGTGTACTTGACGCATCTCAGATCTCCTTTACCATGATTTTGCTTCAATATTGAATGCCTTGCCGCCTTGCTTTTTAGATTCCTTCACCTTTACTGGTGTTCTTTATATATATTTTTTAATTTCACGAGTTAAAACCCTTGACCTCACCTTGAGAGGCTTTATGGAAATAGCACTCGGTCACCTAACCTATCCTTTTGTCAACATGATGTGATTGTAATATAAAGAGCCAACATAATATTTTAGGAAATTATTTTGTCACGACATTGGCTGGTAGCTTAGCGTACTTGGGTAGGGATATATGCCCAAATGGACCTTTGAAGGTTGCTATACTTTCTAAAGAAACATGTCAATTGATGAGGACATCATCAGGAGATTCCGACGCGTAAGAGGAATCATAGATCGACGGCTACGATTATTTATTTATGATGCATTTTATGTATTATTTTTGTTTATGCTTTAGTTTTTATCATTGTACCCCTGTGAGGGATTGGTTTGTGTTGTAGCCTAGAGGACTTTTTGGTCTTTGCGTTTTTTGTTATTTTAAGGCCTAAATATGAGGGCCTAGCTATTGTATGAGTTTTATTTTATGATTGATTATTGAAATTTCAGCCTTCTAGTTCCTTTGAGTGTTGAGATCTCTAGAGAGAGGTGAAGTCCCTAGGTGAGGGCAAGAGCAACACCCGTTAGCCACAGGAAGTGTCAGAGCTCTCGGTTTCCTCCTACTTCACCTTCCTCACTCCTTGGATTCCTCCCAAACCGCCGTCCTCCAAACCCCGCCCCCCC